ATGTAATACTTATTCAACAGCTATTTATAAAACTTTTACTGTTACAAATAGTATAGAACAGTTGACATTCACAATTTAATAGGTGTTATTTTCATCTTCATTTCTAACGTGCTGTTGTTGTGTATAGTTTAATATATGATGTAAGTAAGACTTAAATATCTTTTTAAATATTTAATTCCTCTTGTATTTTATTGTAAAAAAAATTCACGAAAATTAAGGATCAGCGCTTTATCAACTCATCGTATTTCATTCAACTTACAATTTATTATTCTTACAGAGCCGAGTGACACATCTTTTACTATTATCATATTACAGAAATCTGATATGGAAAAACAATAAACATATCACATGTAATTCATATACTAACGCTCAGACATTAAAATATTTTACTTGATCTGATAATCATTTGCTTTGTAATAAATATCTATTGCAATTATAAAGAAATTGTAACGTACTAATTGCCAAATTTCAAAGCAACAATCAATAAAATATATAGTATTTTATTACAACACAGATTCAATAATATAAAGATTTATAAAAACGATATCAGACTTCGTCCGATTCGTTGGAATATATTGAAATCTATCGGCGAGTCATGCTGTCGGAATGAAATGTTCACGTTACATTTTAGGAACGTTTAATAAAATATACCGAGATATTTTGTGATACCAAAAATGGATTTTATATGTTGATAAAGTTAAACAGGAAGCAATACTAAAAGAATATTGATTTAAATAAAAAATATTGTACAACGTATGGTTAAAAAATAAAATATATATTTTCAAACATGGTCGGTGGCCTAGAAGTTACAGATCCGTCTCTCGTGCATGGGTCCGCGGGATCGAAACCTAGCAAGTATCAAAATGTGTTTTCCGAGTCGTATGTACTTTCTAAGAGTATTTAGATACCACTGACTGACGGTGAACGGAAACATCGTGACGAGACCTGGACTTTCAAACATTGAATAATTTGAAATTATTATTTTGAAATCACCAACCCGTCTCGAGCAAGCATGGCGATTAATGCTCAAACCTTCTCCATGAGTAGAGGCCTTTGCTCAGCAGTGGGCTTTGATAGACCGATGATGATGACGATTTTTAAACAGATGAAATAATAATAATGAAGTAATATTTATTCCTCATATATAAATATATATCCTTATCCATTCATCAGTACAATAACGGGACTGTTTTTAAATTTGTAATTAATCTCTGGATAATAATTTAATGGGATGAGAATTATTAAATATAAAAATTAAACATGACCTACTATTGAGCAAATGTCTCTGTATTTTTGTTTATATTCTATAAATATTAATTTCTGACTATTGGAATACTTCGCAGGATTATATCAATACTATGTCATCTTATAGTACATTTCCCTGCACATATTTATTGTAGTACATTACTTGGTGGTTTGTTGACCTGATTTTGATCCTACATAAGATTTCTTAATTTCTAATATTGGCATAACTAAAATGCACATAAATTTAATTTATTAGAGAACTCTTTTCACTAACAAACGCAAACCTACCACACAAAACCTTTCTGAGATTTTTATAAATGTGGTTTGTTCTTAAGAAGAAAATTTTATAAAGTACATTGAATGGCTTACTTTTGTAGAAGCTTTATAGTTTTTTAAATATTGCACTAAATATATGTAAACAAAAAATACAATTCTGCAAGACTTTATTGTATTTTCACTGTGAACAAAATTCTAATTCAAACTGAATGAGAGAAATTGTTCCTCATTTATAATATTTTTTCTCATAATATTACTATAGTATTTATTGTATTGTTAGTAAAATTCGCAACACAATAACTGTTATTACTTTCTTAATACTTCTACATAATCGTTTTATAATTTATCAAAGTACTGATTCAGCATAAGTGAAATCCCGCCAGATATTAAAGTCATAGCAATCCTTTTCAGACCTCATTACAAACAAGCGGGTTATGTCGTCAGCAGAACAAAAGCACGTCATTATTTTAATCTGTCTCGGAGGATCAATTTTTTCTTATAAATTGATAAGATCACATCCCGTCAAAGTATATTGCGTCAACAAAGACGTTTTTTTCAATTTTGTGAGATGCTTTTGATATTCTCACAGGCGTGTGATGTAAAAAAATATATCTTTATTTTACTCTCCTCGCTAAGATATTTATTTGCATGGAATCTTTTCAATAAATCTCAATCTAACACTCGCACAGTGACTGCTAGATATTATAATTCAAATATTTTGTATTTTGTAATAAAGTTTTTCTTTTTATATAATATTTCTTGTTTAGTAAAGTTTGATGATGTTTACAAGTTTAAATGGAATCAGATCTTTAAGACTTCACAGTGAAAATAGACGCACGCAATGACGCAAGTCATTATTACAAATAGTTATGAAAAACAAACGTTAAAATTCAATGTTGATTTTGGTAACAGTAGTAAAATCGTCGATTTTTCAGTGATCCGAGAGAGAATCTCTTTTAAGACGGGTAGTTAGTTCCATTTCCATTATTTGATATCGAAATTCAGTCAGTTATTCTTAGTAGCTCGTTAATAGTCTCATGAATAATATTTTCATTTTAATGTTATGCAATATTTTAAATATAGATATTGTTAGAAAATTTACTAGACTTTCGTTTTGTAACTATTCTATTGAAGTTTGTTTTTTAATATATTTTTAGGCAATAATTAAATATACATGTGAATTTCATACCTTAAAATAGAATTATTGAAAAATCCTTGTTCTTTATACTATGCCCTGTTTTCTGATTTGAGTAATATTACGTACTTAATTTATTTCCACAAATTGTTAGCCCTGAGTAGTATTGGAGTCATGATTGGCAGAAATGCCGCTTTCATTCAACCAAACGTTCTCTGGTAACCGCACTTGTGTAGACGTTGGATGGCGTATTTGTGGTTTTAACAAATATTCAATATAGTCCAATATTGTATGAAAGGCAATAGGTATATGCATTTTGCAGTACTTAGTAAAACGGTCCTTAAAAAATTACGTCACTTACAAAACCTAATGAAAGTTTTAATGATACTGAACACCCGTCGTCTGAAATAATAGGAATTTATAAGGAAGATGTGATAAAAGAACATATGTGATTATGTCATCTAAGATATTGATTTCAAAATTTAAAAATACCTAACTAGTTAAATGATTGAGTTATGTTACATCCTTCATATGCCACACATTTTAGATTGGACGTTACTACCCTAATCCTTTAAATTTTATGATATACCATCATCTTTACTAAATAAGTTAAAATAATCCTATCGTTCTGTTACAACTTAATGAACAATCTTTAATAAGCCAGAGTAATATTAAATTTAAAACAACAACTTTAGGAGATGTCACAGGAATAACTTAGCATTATGTGACTCAGTCACTGGATGAGTGAGAGAGCCGGTTACCTTTTCCATATTCAGTCATTTTTCCAACTTTATTTTTTGTTTTATGTAAAAGGTGGCAAACGAGCAGACGGCCCACTTGATGGAAGGTGGTTACCACAACATATTTATTGCGGATGCGTTGCCAACCTTATTTTTTAGGAATAAGGAGGGGTGGAAATAAGGAAATGGTAGGGAAGGGTAGGAATAGGGAAAGGGCAACCGGCTCTCTCACTCTTCGGATGAAAGGCAGCCATTAAAGGCTACTTCACGTCGATATTCTGTGAGAGGGTGGTACTTCCCCGGTCGAGCCAGCCCATGTTCGAGCTGTAGTAACTGACCACAGCTAGGTTCTACTACTTTAATTATTCCCACCCCTTCGTCTTCTTCAATAACCAAGGTTTATAGTACATCTGCAACATAAGACATGTTGCGGATGTCTACGGGCGACGATGACTAATACCCATCAAGTAGGCCGTCTCAAAGAAGATCTATAGTTATAGACGAAAATTTAAATATTACTCACTTAAAATTCAAATGTAGCTATAAAAATTAAATCGATTTCATTAGCTGGTGCAAAACACTCACAATACTTGTTATATGACGAGGTTTTGAAAACATTTATATCATCAGATGTTGTAATAAATGTGGTTTCCACTCGGTGAATATATTAAAATGTCACAATGTGTTTTCATATAACAGAAATTAAATTGACTGGATGGCTAACATTCTTTACTGATATTTGCAGAGTGTACAATGCTTGTGGTGTTGAATATTTTATAATTAAATTATTTTAAATGATGAACAGATTATCAGAATAATTTCGATGTTTATGTCTGGTTGACACCTGGAATACCTACAACAATACACAAAATATGGCAAATTGAAATATAAATATAACGGTTTTAAAACACTACTTGCGAACAAAATGCGAAACAAAATATATAAATTTTAATATGTTAATTACGATATGTTTTAGAGGTGAATTTCTTATTATTTTTCATGCAAATTACTTAACAATCAAAATTAAAACTTGCTTAAATAAAATCACTTCCTAGAAAACCACAGCAAATGTGCAATCAGTAATTTCACATTTTATTGCCATATGTAAATGTTAGGAGAAATTGCCTGTAATTTTTTTAAATATATGACTGATTAAAATACCAAGTTAAAGTAATTAAATCTGATTAACAGTTAATTCTTTCATATACAAGAAGCTTTTTATTACAAAAAACTTCTATTAAAGAAAACATTAGTAATCGTATGAAAATAACCATAAGTTCAAAATCTTTGCATTCCAGTAACAGTGTCATATTTTACTTAGTAAATACTATCTATTATTTCAAAATTTGCTAATTTCATAAAATTTCAAAATATTTTTTACATTGTTTCACAATATTTCACAATACCATGAAATATTCTATTTCACAACGTTGTGCAATACATAACCTATAAATACTTGGTCCTGACCGATCGTTGCGGTACTTCATAAGTAATCTTTGGTTCGTTTGAACACTATAATATTATTTATAAAATGAGATTATTACATGAAATTGATTTGTTTGGCTTTGGCCCTCGTGGATTAGGGCATCACGCTCACGAGCATTATGGCCACGTACATCATGGCCATTGGCGTTATGGACACGGGCCTCATGGGCACGGGCGTCACGGACACGGGCCTCATGGACACGGGCCTCACGGACACGGGCCTCACGGACACGGGCCTCACGGACACGGGCCTCATGGGCTTGGGCCTCACGGACACGGGCCTCATGGACACGGGCCTCATGGGCATGGGCCTCATGTGCAGGGGCCTCTTGGACGCGGGCCTCATACACACGGTCCTCATGGCCACGGACCTTATGGGCGCAGACCACATTGCCACGGACCCAATGAACACAGACCTCATTGCCACAGGGCCCACGGGTCTGGACTTGAAGGAGCTCATCATATTGGCTGTTCTTCAAGACGGCTATTAAGGAACCCACAGGGATGTACTGCAAGAAAGGATTGTACAAATGTGACCGATTCATCACGACGACCACATTCTATTTGAACTTTTTATATTGCCATTAAAACAGAAGTGTTATAATATCGTATCATAATAAACTTAAAATCAAATGAAACCATTATGATAATTCGGTAAAATAATGCCAGGTCTTTATGTCGTATGGTTTCACTCTGAATTATTATGATTATGTTCATATATTTTATAATTTCATTTTACTCGTATATGAATATATTTCAAATGACTAAGTAAACCTTATATTTATGGTATCTAAAGGAATCACTATATGGACAACAAAATAAAAATTATAAACGCTATTATTGTTATAAAGTGCTTTGAATTTTATCAGTGACTCAAACACTTATAGACTGATGGAAGATAACCAAATGATTGTTATTGTATGAAATAAATTATTTAAAACACATATGAAAATATTTTATTTTATCTCCTTATTTCCAACCATTCTATTGTTCGACAAGTATCCACATCCCGTCATTAGTTCTAACAAAGGCCTCCTATTTTAATATTGTCCGTCTTAATAACCCAGTAAAACTTAATTTTATTTTGTTTTCTTGTACGTATTCCAGTTATTTAATATTTAAGTGCATTTGAACATTTCATGACCTTTTTAGAATTATTAATTGTTGAACTCACCGCGTGTGTTCTGGGAGAGATAAGTTCTGTCAACAGACTATTAAATACTACACACTGCTAAGAAGAATGTAGAACTAAATGTGGATTACAACTAAGCAAAATAAAAATATAGTTTGATTTAGATTTATAAATTCTAATATACATGAAAATTATAAAATCATAAAATACGCGTAGCATAATCTAAAAAAATATTACTTTTATTTAAATAAACGAGGTGCCTTTCAATAACCAAATATTGACTTTACATAAAATTAAGAACAAAATTAATACAAAGGGATGGATATATATTTAATTCAGTCTCACTCCTTAAGAAAGTGAAAGATTAAAAAAATATACTCATAGCTAAAGAAAAATCTGCATATCTGTGGATATTACTATGTGGGAGTATTTTTCGCTCTTTTTCGTCGTCTGTGTGTGAAGCAACACCTATAAAGTTTACCATATTAACATAATAAATGGCTCCAAGCGGTCCGGTAAATCGTCTGAAATATTTAATACATTGTAAAATAGATACAACAATGAAATAGCTTAGCCTTTGTCTCGTAGTTCAACCATTTTTATTCTAAGAAAATATTATCTTTTATAACCACATTTCATATTTATTTCACAAATATTATTGTTGACTGAAATCGTTTAAATTATATAAAAAGATATTGTTGGCTTTTATGATTGTTTTAATGTTTTAAATTTAATTTTTCATTTACTTTTTGATATTGCATGAATCCCAAACTATACAAAGATGAAAGGAAATTTAAAGCAGTCTTAAATGAATACGATAGTTTAAGTGCTTGAAGCTTGTCAGTATATCTACATATATTACTAAATTTTTGCACTAAAGAAATGTCTTTATGAAAATCTTATTATAATGAACTTTTCCAAAATTAATTATATTTTCACTTGGATATTGTTTATTTTAAGATAATTCGGCTGGTTTTGGAGTTGTTTATTGATATTTAGAAGTAAAATTTAATATAAGGTATTAAATAGTTATTTGAAACATCGAGAAGATGCCGTACATAGATTAATATTTAGTACAGATTCGGAAATCTAAATCCCAGCCCCTTTAGGGTTTGAAAACGAGGCTTAAATTGTTTGATGATGGTCCAAGTGTGAGAATAAATAAAAGTTTAAGTGAAATTTCCTATTTCTTATAAGTATTTTTGTTCAACCCTACTGTTTTAAAGAATCACATTTCGATCAATCGTATATCGAAACAAACAAATTATATAAAATCTACGACACTAATATACTATTTAAAAAAGCTTGAGTGATTATTGCCTTATTATTGTAACTTGTACATAACATATATTTATGAAATTTTATATTATAAAAATGTTGAATAAATAAGCATTGATATTAAATCTCTAATTAAACAATATTTTATTTCTAGTGTTTTTAAAATAATGTTTATCTGAAATTATCCAATTAATGTCTTATAATCTATAAGTCTATGACTTAAGCCATATCTTTGTATCGAATACAAATTAGTTGTCAAATTTACAGACCACCCGGAATCCGTTCGAGTAACAAACTGATAAGCAATCAGACGTTTAGATAAGACAGCATCGAGTATTTAGATAGCCGTTATTATAATTGAATTAAGGACTAATTTCGATTGAAATATAATATTTCATTAAAACGCATCGACGAGATAGGCTTTAAGAAGGAAATAAAATATATCTTCTTAATTTAATTCTCGCTATCAGAAATGGACATTTTTTGATATAATAGAAAATTTCATAAAAAAGACAAAGTTTAATTTTGTTGGAAGCGTTTTGTTAAATATGTCTTTAATTAAAATTTTCAAGATGTGAATAGAAAATTCATCTTTGTCTAGACTCTAGTGTCTTGACCTGTTTACTGTGGAATTAGGTTGGAATGAAAGTACTTGATATTTTAAAGGTCTCGTTTATTTTTGTGGGAAACTAAAATTTTAATTTTATTATGTCACTACTAAAAAAACGATGATTAAATTGATATAAGCTGTTAGTGGATGTTATGAATGTATGCAGAATTAAATGGCATTTGATTAACAATATATTAATACTAATTACAGGCTATCATTAAATCACGCAGCATTCCATTAGAACATATGATAGTAGTGTCAACTAAGCAGTCATTTGATCTCATAAATCATAACTTCACAGCCAAATGAAGCGATTAACGTTCTGGATATTGCGTCTGTGATAGTGACGTTGTATACGGAACTCTGGTTTTGATATTTGAAATCTAAGCTGGTAATACAAATAGATTAATAAATATTACTCATAGATATATATAGTTTAGATAGAACTTATCTCAACATTCATGAAACTTATTCATACAGTGTAAAGTTAATTTAGATTGGTACTTTAACAACTATGGAATATGCGAAATAGAAAGGTGATAGGAGGTCGTAAAACGGTTGATGGTATGGAAATAAATAAGAGTACGATTTATAGATACAACTTGGGCAATGTAACCATGAATAAAAAAAGACCAAGTGTGATCTCACGAACAGTTTAAGTTTTAGTAACTTCTTTCAAAACTAAACTGGTCTTCCGTAGTACTCGCTAACTTTCGAATATTCATATGTCGCCAGGATGTAGATAAATCTCCTGTAGTTAATTGCACTGGTATTAATTTTTTATGTGTGTGTAGGTGACCTTCTATTACTATAATAATGAAGTCTTTAGTCCTTTAAATTTGACTTTTAACTCACAATCTTAGGGGTCAAGTAGTCAAAGAGCAAGCTTCTCTTGGTTAGAATTAAAGGCATTAACATCTGAAGCTCTTTGCTTATTCAAGTGGACAGTTAACCTCTGTTCTTTGGTCATTACAGGATAATCAAAGGAACGTGGTGGTTTTATTTAACGGATATGAAGTCATTATTGCTGAATATTCAAAATCGTGCACACTAAGAAAATTTTTGCTAAATATTGTGTTGTAGGAATGTCATTGTAAATTTAAATATCTTTATAAAGATTGTACGAAATAAAATACCTTTGGAAAGATATTAAATGTATGATAATGAAAATTATATACAATCAAATATCAAGACATTCCGGTCCCTAACGAGCTCGCTTGCAACCGATGCATTTGGCGTGACGGCTGGACATCACGATATTAATAGTAGCTATCTCCAGTATACGCAAATAGTACGTTAATAATAAAATTATATATTTATTTTGTTACTTAATTAGCTTTAAATATTTATACATATACTCGTACTTACATATCAATGTGCAACTTTAAGGTAAGGTTAACAATACATGTTTCAAGATTCTGAGTAAAAATATAAATAAATTGTACGACTATCCAATAAAAAGAAACTCAAGCGTATGCTTTTTCTAACAAAATAATATGAATTTGATAAAATTATAAATCTATTTTTATACGATAATAATACCGTTATGATGGTTGTTATGAAAGATTTTTAAATTTTTAGTCAATTATGACCTCTTCAGATTACAACAGACCCCATATAGCAAAAATATTATTCAAAATCCATATAAATGGACACTTACCGTCTTGTAATTTATTTAAAATAGTTTTATATTATTATTAAATGTTCCTGATAACATAAATAATAAATTAAGACATTTAAATAAGGGAATAAACGATGAAATATTAAGAAAATAGTTTATTTTAGTCAGGCTATTAATATTGATAATCTTGATGGATTAATTTTTTTTTTAAACCTATTATTAAAATAAAGTAAACATAAGCGTTGCGGAAGTTTTTGTACATTTTTATAGGTATCAGATTATTATGTCACGTCAAACTTACAATTATCCTCGCTGCTTTAAGTATTTTTTATAAAATTTCTGCAAATAAGATTACGTTAGTCTTCATCGTAAGATTTCCACTAGATTAAAATAAATAAAATGAAATCTTTTACGGCGCTAACATTTCTAAATATTAAAATTCCTAATAAAATATAGAGTCTCTGTGCAAGCTGACTCACTCTGACATAAATTAATTAACCTCGCTTTAATTAATAAAACAAATCTGTGATGTTTTATGTTTAATAAAATAAATATATGATGAAATTCAAATATTTAATTTTTTGTAATAGTACTTAAAGCTGCCGATTTTTTTTTACATATAAGTGTTTTACATAAGTAAGTAAGTTTGTTTAATTTATTGTCTTTTTTTAAACATGGCCTTCATATTTATCACGTCCTTATCAAGCTTTATAAAATTGGAAATATTTGACAAGTCAAATTAACATGTTTTCCTTGCCATCTATTAAAATACTTTGATCGAGATAGTTATTCTTCATATAGAAGGGTGCGTTTTATAACATGTTGACTGAAATGATATACCTAGAAAAGA